TTACATAGGTCCGAAAAGTTTCATAATACTCCGCAACACCCATCTATCTCCAACAAAGTTTTTATAAAAAAATATTTATTATCAAAAAAAAAATTTCTGAATTTTACTGGACTATGTATATTAATTATATATATAACAATCTAATTATATGCAAAAAATAGGAGTGATTCGCCTATTTTTAAGTTATTTGCAATTATATGAAATATTAATCCTTGGTGCTTGCAGTCCTAAATATTAATGTAAGAATAATTAAATAAAAGAATTATTACCAAGACCAGTGATGTTGGGTATTTGGGAAAACGGGAACCAGCTGTATAGTCATCTAAAAATGCAATTAATTAATATATAATAAAATTTTGTTGTTTTGATTTACTACTGTTCAAAATAGCTCAATATTGAAAACAATAGTTTATGTTAAGAATTTAGTTTCTTTCATCAAAGCGATGTTCTGCATATAAATGTCATATTTATGCTGAAAGACTATCTACTATTACTATTAACTATAATGTTATAGATAATATAATATATATAATATATGTATATATATTATATTATTATCTATCAGCGATTTAGCTCCTTAAAAGGAAGCTGATTGAGACTGGACTCGCATGTAAGAATTAATATTAAAAATTAATAACTTCACATAAGTAAAAAACCATCTTCAGTGCAAACGGATAGAAAAAAGTTATTTATACTGTGAATGAACTTAAAGTGTCAATTTTCGCTCTCGTAATAAACTACCAAGCCAAAAATATCTATTTTTTTAACTTATTGACTTGAATTTGAAGTATTCGTTTTTAAACTGTGCAAAATATCCATTCATAGTTTAAAAAATCGATTTAAATTCCAAATATCGCCGGAATATCGCCTTGTTACGAATTTATTACGAAAATGCATTTTCCAGATTGTCTTTGGTAGAGCAGGAAATACAGTTTATATGCACTTAGATTGAAGTTAACGATGATGACTTTGAAGTGTGGAGATATTCTGCATGAATTCATTCGTATTCGTTTGAATTTCAATTCGTAAATGCGTACTTCACCAGAATTGCTTAGCAACTTTTATGAAGTGATTTTGTCCTGGTGACAGTTCAAAGCTGCCAGCTGCACATCACTTGTCAATATAAATTAACGACGTCCTCACAAAAGTTCTGTTTGATTTAAAAATTTTAAAAATTTTGCGTAAATGCCGAAGCATAGCAGTTTAAAAATGTGAAACAAAGGATCCCAGGGAAGAATACTTAATAATTTATTTTGTACTTTAATTTGTTTCAATTTTTGCTTTAATACAATATCAAAGTTATTAATAATATATTATACAGATTATAGTTACAATAAATTACTCTTATTTTCACTCTTTAGAATTTATTCTAGGAAAAAAATTTAATCTGCAAAATTAAGAAGCAACAGACTGAATTCTACATTAGACGCAGAACACTCCGAGACATGGGATAGTATACTTTATGCTATTCAGGTTGCAAAGACAAAGGGAAATATCTGACCAGTAATACTGAAGACATATTTGAAGGATTGAAAATAAATTTCAATTTCTAATAATACCAGATGATGATCAAGAAGAAGATGACCTCTGATCCCACCTATTATGCAGGGGTGCAGAAAAATTTCTGTCAGTTAAAATCTAACAAAATCCCAAGGATTAAAAGCATAGAGAGCTGAAATAACACTAAGCAATTCATAAATTTATTGTACCATATATGGGACGATGAAGGGACACCAGAGACGGGCTTAATGGCATAATATGCCGCATATATAAAAATTGAGATATAAGAACGTGCAGCAATTATGAAAGCATAACATTGTTGAATTCTTCCTATAATATACCTTTTTATCATATATAAACGGATACCACCATATCATAAAAACATCATCCAATATGACTTA